CCTGGCCTTCCATGTGGCCACAGGGGGTCACGCAGCACAATCCCAGAGTCAGACTGGCTCCCACCCTAGCCTTCCTCTCACTCAGGTCGTCAGGGAGGTTTAGGGGAAGCCAAGCCCAACCTGGAAAGCCTTCCATTCTTCACAAGGAAGAAGCCATAAATGTCTTTGCTTCCTTTAACACGTTAATTGGCTTTCTTTACACAGTTCAAGTGGTTGTTACTGGGAAATGGCTATGTGCTTTCTCTTTAGCAAAGTGATGTGATTTGGGAGAATTATTGAGTTACCATCTCGCACCCTTTTACTAACAGGGGCACCCGGAGGACATCTATCAAAGGCAACCTTCAGACTTGTTCTACCAGCCTAGCTGAAGCTTAGACCCTTCCGGGTGGTTTTATATCCTCCAGAATTTCAAAGAGAAAAACAATTACCTTCTCGAATGTCTGGGAGCTTCTGAAACATGGATTTGTAGCTCCCGGTTAGCGGCTCTGGATACCCCAAGACCTTCAGGCTGATGTTACTGGCTCCTTCTCTCCCGGACCAAGACATCACCTGGGCTGAGCCAAAGGAGGTAACCACTTCTCCTCGGTTACTTCTCGAGCTGTATTTCTGAGAGGGAGTAGCACTAATTGGAAGCAAAAGACATTACTGTTAGTGTGTTCATACCTAAAAGGATGAGGTTACTTTTGAAAATGGAGATATGGAGGAACGTCAGGCTGGCCTCACATTTTATAAATCTAATCAGCTTAATGGGGTTGGACATTCTGGACCTTTAAGGAATTTCAGGAATGAGGGGGCTGAGGAATACCAAACGTGTTCAGAGAAGTTTAGATGCAAGGACACATTTTAAAAGGTCTTCTCCTGGCTTAAAACTAAACAAAGTAAAACAAAACCCAAACTCTGAATTGATTAAAAAGCAAGTTCCGAGTACTATTTTCTTATGAATTTTTAGCATTTGTTAGAACATCGTCAGAGCCTGGAACTGTGGATAAGCCAAAAGTTGCTGTGCATACACGTAAGACCTCACGATATAGCTCAAGGTAGAAACGGCAATGAGATGAAATTAAATGAAATGAATCAGCTTTCCCCAGTGTCTCTGGAGGTGGACGCATAATGAGTTCTGTCAGCTGGTGAGCAAACACTCCCATTCTCCGAGTCTCAACGGACAAGTTCTCGTATTTCCACTCACTGACTGATAAATTCCACCTCCAAGGACACACGGGTATTGCTGATCTGCTTAGAGGACAGCGAGGTCTTCTAACCCTTTGGTCATGAACACAGCGTAGAGAGGTCCAATTAAAACACGCTTCGTTTAATGTTCCGAAACTCTGCAGGAACAAGTTCTTTGGGGGCACCGTTGCAATGGGTGCCACCAGTTCCTCCTTTCCAGGGAGGCTACAGAAAGCGAGCTTGATTAATTACCTCTATCTCCAATGCTGCCTCTACCTGCATAATTTAGAAAGTTACTTTCATAAACTCCAAAGCCAGTTTCTAATGTCAGCTTCATTGGCGTGCATTAAAAAATGACTAGGCAGCACATCGCCGACTGCTCCGAGCTCCTCCCTGTGAAGCTCCATGGGGTGGGCGTTACAGCCGGCCCTTTAATGCAGGGAGTCGCTCACAGGGGATCAGCTGTAGACAGATCTACGAGTTGCAAAGGCTTGCTTGTTGAGAGGATAGAACTGCTGTCATGGTGCCAGCACCTATGAGAACCATCTCTATATACCACACCAACCATCTCTGTGCATCCAAAGATGCCCTTCTAAGTCTGGAAAGCTCACTTCGGAAGCCAGTTTGAGAACTCCCGAAAGCAGGAGCGGACCACACTCAAAGTCAAATCGTCCCTCAGAATCCAACCACCGTTCAGCTTGAATGACGGCTATCACCTCCTTTCTTTTTTTCCTTTTTTTAATATTTTTTGGCCATGACGCGTGGCTTGCGGGATCTTAGTTCCCCGACCAGGGATTGAACCCAGGACCACGGCAGTGAAAGCACCGAGTCCTAACCACTGGACGGCCAGGGAATTCCCTATCATCTCCTTTCTAATGTGACAGGGCTAGAAAGTCTTAAGCTCTGCTCCGTCTAGAAGTGACTCCTAGCAGCCAAGTGTTTCCCTAACTGGTTAACATTACTGTTCCTTTGCCTCATCCTGATGTGGCAGTGCCTAGAAACCTTTCTTCTCCTCAGTAGAGCTCTCATCTATGGAATTCTCTCACATAAGACATGTCATTTATGGATTTCCAAAAGTCACATGTGATCTTTGTGGATTTATGTGCAGAGGTGGCAGCAGGGATAAAATACCAATTAAGTTGGTGTAGATTCACAGTGACAAGAAAACTTTCAGAAACTAGTTGTAACCCGAGTGAGGGACAAAACACAGGTTACGCAACATTGTGAACAAAGATACGTGCTTTTCTTTTTTAAAAATAAATACTTCAGATAAAAAAAAAAACCAACAACACATGAACTAACAGAAGCAGGTGGAAACCTATTTGCCTCTACTGGCAAGACTCAAAGGCCTCCCAACTTCTGAATAGACAGGTTGTTTTCAGTAGAAGATATCAGTTCCTGATCTAGGAAATGAGCCCGAGAAAAGCGGGTGGAAAGTGAGTTTCCTTAATTACCGTAAGAAACAGTAATTTTCCACACAGGACAAGAGAGCAGGGAGGGCAGAGAGCCGTAGGCTTTCCAGCCAGCTCACTGCAGAGGTAACAGTCCACTCACATTCATTAAGTCATGCTGTAGTGTCAGCCGCCACTAGATAACCAGAGAAAGGGAAGGGCAGGCCTGCTGTTTGGCAGCTAAATTAATTATGAGCCATACCTTGGAGAGAAACTTGATGGTGATAGGAGCTGATGGGGGCTTCGAGTAGACACACTCCTTTTTGTGAGGGGGGTTTCTGGAGTGGTGATAGCTCGCTTCTGAGAACCCTAGAAACAAAAGAGGAGAAGGGCCCAGTCACTCCAGATCCAGGCTACTAATTAAGTGTACAGTTCCTTAGGAAGAAAGGGAGAACGGTGCCTGAATGAAGGGCACAGATAGGATAGGGTTGGTTTTCTTCTTAAGGCCCCATTTTCCAAGTATAATCTCAGAGAGAAATCCTCATCAACTGTAACCCAGTATTCATCAGTATAATGGCTCCATTTTGGAGGCAATTATGAAAAAAATGCCAACATTCCCCAAAAAGGATTGTCAAGCAGGCGATCTGTCCTCTCAAATCACTCACGTGTTCACTTTCCTTCCCCACCTCTCTTTGCTTTACAACAGCTGTGAGTTTTGCTATGCATACGGTTCTGACCTGCGTGGACACATTTTCCTGACAAGGGATGGGACCATGTTACTATTTATTTTGGCAAAGTCTAACACGCATTTTCAAAATTAAAGAAGGGAGTGACTCCAGGCAGATAACATGAGTGAGCTCATATTTGGAGAGGATTTAGCAAATGCCTCACTGATGGTCACTTCTGTTTTCTGGGTTTTGCTCATCAAGAATCCAGAGATGCCCAGAGTAGAGGGTGAAACCCCCAAGTCCTGAGATCCATTGCTCCCCAGAGTCTGGGACGACCAACTGTGGCTGAGGAATGACAAAATCCTTGCCTGGATGGCAACCAGGCGGCCAGCTAGTCTGCAGACATTCCCCTATCCTTGGGCTCCTCCTGGCTGCAGGTTTAAGTTATGCCACCAAAACTGCTGTATACAGGGGTGACGACGAACAGATGGGAGAGAAAGGATTCAAAACCACCATTAAGGAGCTGGAATGGAAACTAGATTTTAAAAAGACCCTTATGCTACCACCCTTATACAAGAGCCATTTAAAAATATTCCTCTCTAGGGCTTCCCAGGTGGCGCAGTGGTTGAGAGTCCGCCTGCCGATGCAGGGGACACGGGTTCGTGCCCTGGTCCGGGAGGATCCCACATGCCGCGTAGTGGCTGGGCCCGTGAGCCATGCCGGAGCCTGTGCTCCGCAACGGGAGAGGCCGCAACAGTGAGAGGCGTGCCACAAAATAAATAAATAAATAAATAAATAAATAATAAAAATATTCCTTCCTAGCATTTCAATATTTTTCCAATTAAAAAAATCCTAATAGTTGTAATCTTATTTTGAATATGAACCTTCACTTAAGTAATACATACACTGAATTTTTTGCTCAATATTAATTATGAGCATTTTCCCACATTGTCACAATCTTCATCCTTTTTAGTAGCTGTGTTGATTGAACTGATATACAATAATTTACTTAACTACTCTATTTCTGGGTGCATTTGTAATTTCTGGTGACTATAAATAATGCTGAGATGCCCATTTTCACACACATAGCTTTTCCTAGAATTTGTATTTGTGTGTGTGTGTGTGTGTGTGTGTGTGGTACGCGGGCCTCTCACTGTTGTGGCCTCTCCCGTTGCGGAGCACAGGATCCGGACGCGCAGGCTCAACAGCCGTGGTTCACGGGCCTAGCCGCTCCGCGGCATGTGGGATCTTCCCGGACTGGAGCACGAACCCATGTCCCCTGCATCGGCACGCGGACTCTCAACCACTGTGCCACCAGGGAAGCCCTGGATTATTTTTTTAGGGGAGACTCTTACTAGGGACGATTATTGGGCCATAGGATGGTAAAGATTTTATGGTTTTGATATATTTTCTCAAACTATTTCCCCCAAAGACTCTTCTAATATACAGTGGGCTACAGAACTCTAGGTCTCCCAGGACATGGACAGAGGATAGGACTCTGGGAGAGAGCAGAGACTCGTGGCTCTCATCCTCAGACCTTGCGGTGAAACCTGATTGTGTCAGCAAACCAGCTCCAGCTACGCTCCTTGGGGGTGCGCTCACTCTAACCAAGCTCAGGAGACTCACTGCTAATACTACATGCCAGTTCATTCACCTGTAACGAGAAATACCGAGGGACCACAGTCTCATATCCTGTGGTGAGCATATCCTCACACCACACAGGAACCCAAATTGTAGCCAAGGATGCCAGCTTATTCACTTATTAGAAACATAATGCCAACATCAAAGGAACTTCAAATCCTCAGGCGAAAGCACCTCTCCCTGTCAGGAAGGACATGTGGAGAGCCAAATTATAACCACAAGATTTATGGTGAGCATGGGAGCAAAAGTGTAGCTGTCAATTGCACAAGCCAAATATTTAATGGTGACAAGCTAAGACCACTGACATATTCACCTCTGTAACAGGGGCACCCCTGGCCCTAAGATCTGACACTGGCACTGTTTGGGTGGGAAAGGCCAAGGTTTGGCTCTGACTCTGTCATCATGCTGCCACTGATGCCTGACAGTTTCCGTGTGATGGGCACTGTTCTAAGCATTTTTCCTGTTTCTAGCCCAGTCCCATTCTGCCTCTCCTCTGAGCTTCGGACACATATTTCAAATTGTTTGCTCATTTCAACCCAACTCTCTCAGCTCTGATTCCATGGTCACAAATTTTAATCCGTGATTGAGCCTCCTAGGTACTTTTGTAGCAGGAAT